TCGCCTTCCACCGTCAAAACCCGTAAATTCATCCCCGAAAGAAAGGGTCCTGCTCAGCTTCCATCTCTTCATCAACTTCTTCCGACGAGTCATTCTTCGCGTCTTGACCTTGCGTCTCATCGTTAGAGACATACTCACCGCCTCACAGGACCAACGCTTTAAGATTAGGGATTTTTCCAGAAATAGCACCTTTAAAAAAAATTACACAAATAGCACCCATCCGTAAAAATTTCCACTAATAGCACCCTTTTTAATAGAACGCACCTTGTAGATGCGTTTTACATATAAATCGCACCCTACAAGTGCGTTTTAAATATAGATCGCACCCTACAAGTGCGTTTTAAATATAGATCGCACCCTACAAGTGCGTTTTAAATATAGATCGCACCCTACAAGTGCGTTTTAAATATAGATCGCACCCTACAAGTGCGTTCAAAAAATCTGGAATCAAATCGCACTTTAGCCTAGCGATTTTAGGTCTGACCTAATAAAATCGCATGGCGGAGGTGCGATTTTAGGTCTGACCTACTGAAATCGCATGGCCAAGAAGCGATTTTATGTCTGACCTAGTAAAATCGCATGGCCGAGGTGCGATTTGTTGCTGCCAGACAAAATCGCACCATGAGGATGCGATTTTAACATGCAAACCGCACCTTAAAGGTGCGGTTTTGGTCAATCAATATCCGACATCCATACAGACGTTACAGACGTGGGTCTGCATGGGCCTGCATGGCAGACGAAAATCGCATCTCTAAGGTGCGGTTTTCATCAAGATTTTGCCTATAAAAGGCCTCCCGGACAACCATTTCTCTTCACACCTCTCCTTCTCCCTTCCCTTTTCAATTTTCTGTTGTAGCTCTATATTTCTTTAGTAGTTTTGCGATTAACGTTAACTCGTAAGTTGATTTAGTATTACATATTTCTTTAGTAGTTTTGCGATTAACGTTAACTCGTAAGTTGATTTAGTATTACATATTTCTTTAGTACTTTTGCGATTAACGTTAACTCATAAGTTGATTTAGTATTACATATTTCTTTAGTAGTTTTGCGATTAACGTTAACTCGTAAGTTGATTTAGTATTACTTTTTATTGTTAATTTTTATTTTTGATTTTTATGATATTAACTTAACTACGGTTTTATCGCAGATGGCATTCCAAAAGTTCACGCTTGGCTTACGGTGGAATGGTTACACGGAAGAGACCGGAAAGGGTGCCACCTACGTAGGTGGCAATTTTCAGAAGATAAAGGTCGCTACCCGACCGCTGCTTGAAGACCTCCATCAAATGTGCACTAACGTTACTTGCATGGATGGCACGAGAAAAGTTGATCGTATGGTGTACCGATATCCAAACAGAGAAAGTGGGTCATTGTGGCATGAGGAATATCTCATAACCACTCAGGATGAGGTAGACGCCATGCTCGAATTCATGAGGTCCAACAATCTTTCCAAAGCCGAGATGTTCGTTTACACCGAGCCGGTCGTAGGCGTTGGAGGTCATTCTGGACACGGTCAAACATCTGGTATCCATGGTGGAGGTGAATACTATGGCGATCATCCCTACCAAAGTTACCATGATCCTAATTCATATTTTCAGTACCAAGAGCAAGGTGAAGGTCATCATCAATCATATGAAGAAGAAGTTCAACCGGACCGGCCCAACCAACCTCAGTACAACTTCCTCTCAGGCAGCGGTAGTTTTCACAACTACCATTATGGAGCTGATGAAGGTGCCTTTCATGAGCTGGATCAGATGGAGGATGTCATGGCAGCACCAGTCAGTGACCCCTCCGATGAAGAAGGAGAGAACAACGTCAGTGCAGCCAGCTCCGACCGAAGGTGCCGATGATTCCGGACCAGAGTCAGACTCAGCTAATGATGATGAGGGGGCTCGTGACCGTGTACCAGTCCCCTACTACAATCACATTCCAGACGACAATTGGATGGTCGACAGCGACATGGAGCCGCCAGAGGTCCCAATATGGGGTCCACTCACTGGGTTTATGAAGGGCCAACAATTTGGCTCGAAGAAGGATGTGCGTCACGCCATTGAGACAGAAGCAATGACTCGGCATATTGAATGGCTCACAACTCATTCCAACACTAAAAGGCTCTTAGTCAGATGCAGTAATCATCACGAGGGGTGCAATGTTAGGATTCGGGCCATCAACAGCAAGAGACACGGTTGCTGGGTCATATCCCGTGCGGTGAACACACACACATGTGTGTCATCCATAACTTCCCAAGGCCATCGACAGTTGAAATCCGGGGTGGTTGCTGCGGCTATCAAGCATCTAATTGAGCAAGAGCCAGGCCTAAAGGTGAAAGTCATAATCGCTGACATTGCAAGTCGTTATGGTTATATGATTAACTATAAGAAGGCGTGGCATGGAAAGCAGAAAGCTCTGGCCGCCGTCTTTGGTGATTGGGAAGAATCGTATGCATTCCTTCCCAGATTAATTTTGGCATTGGAGGCGTCTAACCCTGGCACGGTTTTCTCCCCTCGATACCAAGATGAAGAGATACAACCCCCAGAGCCAGGTAACAAGCGCCATTTCAGACGACTTTTCTGAGCATTCAAGCCATGTATTGATGGTTTTGGCTTCTGTGTCCCTGTCATCCAAGTGGATGGAACATTCCTTACCGGCAAGTACAAGGGCACTCTCCTGATTGCCAGTGGGGCGGATGCAAACAGACAAGTCTTTCCTTTAGCCTTCGCCATCGTTGAGGGAGAGAATGCTGATAGCTATGGATGGTTTTTCCGGCAAATCCAGATCCATTGTACTAGGAGGACGAACCTTACAATAAACTCTGATCGGCACGCCGGCATTAGAGCTGCCATCTTAGGTTTAGATCCAGCCTGGAAGTGGTCCCAAAGGTGGTGCATACGACACTTCAAGAGCAACTGGAACCATCATTTCAAGCGAAAGAAGCTTGCTGATAATTTGTGGTGGATTGGTAAGTTTGTAATTAGCCGTATAATTTAGTTCCAATTACAATATCTTAGTACGTTTGGCGAGTGGTGCTCCGGTTAGACTCTTTCTAAAGTGATGCATGCCTAAGGAGATGGGGTTTTAAGCGATTATCATGATCCTCCCATTTCCTGGGAAAATCGGGTTTTAAGCGATCTTCGGATCCCCCCTTTTTCTGTCAAACAGGCTATGTTTCTAAGGAGATGTATACCTATCCTAAGAGTCTAACGAGAGTAACTCTGGCTGTTCGAATTTGTACTAAATTGCCGAAAATTGACTAACATACTACTTTCTGTGTCTTCCTCAGCGGTTGCCTACCAAGAAAAAAAATTCCTGGAGAAGATGCAGAAATTGCGCGAGTTATGCCCTGAGGGGGCACAGTGGTGCAGGACATGACCTATCCATGTGGACATTTCATAAAGATGGAGGGACAAGATGGGGTATTGCCACAACGAACTCAGGTGAGAGTATCAACTCTGTCTACAAGGCCGTTCGTGCACTGCCAATCTCTGCCATTGTGGAAATGACTTTTTGGAAAACGAATGCATGGTTCGTCAACCGACTCCACTGGGCCAGAACGAACGAGGCACAGGGTAAGGTCCATGCCTATAAAGTCATGGAAGTAATGGAGAATGACAATCGCAAGAGCAGTCGACATAGTGTAATCGTTATGAATCGGGCAAATGGCGAGTATAGCGTGACGACCGGGCATCGGGAGGACGGTAGACGAGGGGGCCACCGCCATGAAGTTGTGGTCAATTTCAGGACAAAAGTTGGTGAGTGCTCATGCCAGAAGTATCAAGGTAGAGGGTGGCCTTGTTCTCATGCAATGGCCGTAATTAAAAACAGGAGCAAAGACCCACGTCACTTCGTTAGTCCGTTATTCAATATCGACTCACTCAAAAACACCTATGGACTGAGTTTTCGTGCATTGCCTGATGAAGTTTATTGGCCGATGTACGAAGGAAAATTGATCATCCCGCCGTTCGGACAGAGGCGTGAGTCGGGTCGCCCGAGGAAAAAGAGAATTCCAAACGAAATGGATCAAAGTGGAAGACCACCACGAGGCCCAAGACGATGTTCAATATGCAAAGTTCCAGAACATGATAAACGAAGATGTCCAGGCCCGATTGGTCCGCAAAATCCGGGTCCTGATGTGTCGGAATCAGCTAATGCGACATAGTTTGCTTTTATCATTTTTTTTCAAGCATGTTGAGACTCTTACTTTGCAATTAAATGTGTATTGTGTGATAAGCCCTCGATTAGCTTAGCTCAGAATCACGCAGCGATGAATCAAAATTGGATGAATTTGGGGACGAAACTCGATGGAAATTAACGAACTAAATCAGGAACTTCAACACGAAACTGAGATAAAGGAAAAAGAAAACGTTTAACAGACAAAACTTGCATCCTAAGTAACTAACTTCTCTCACAAGTAAACTGTTCCAAAACAGCCTTTGATGTCAACTTTGTGGTTCTGGAAATCGGTATTATGGGTTGAGTCGAGCTCAACCAATTCCTTCCCTTGGTTTAGAAAGTCTTGCCATTTCATTCCCAACTCCAAGCTCCAGCTGGTCATGCCCCAAACTCCTTGAATTCGAGCTCAAAGTTGGTACCTCAAACTGTTTTCCTGCCTTAGATTTCCAGTGAAGGGTTTGACTGATATGGCCTTCCAAAGTACCCTTCCCAAAACTGTCTCAACACTTAGGAAAATTCCAGCCTTGTTCGTATTAACTTGACCCGATCTTTGAACGATTTGTTTGAGATGATTCAAGGGTGGAATTCAGATCATATCATTGTGTATTGTTGATTTTATCGTTCATTGGCTCGAAGTTGGGTTAGAACCCAGAATTTTCAATCAAATTACTTATCTCCACTGTATTGTTGATTGAACTAATTGGAAATAAAAGGCATAGTTCCAAGGGGATGGAAATAAAACCAAATTGAAACAACAATCAAATCGATAAACTAAGATAATAGGAATAGTTCAAATTACATAGAAATTAAATTCAACTCTCCTAAATCCGCTCAAGAAAGTCCACGAGCTTCAGTCGATCCCACGGTTTTCTTGCTCCTTGTACGTCGACCGACGGGAGTAACAATCGGTGGCGGCGGTGGCAAGTTTCGAACTCGGGCCGTGGTAGTTTGGCGGTCGTCGGTGCTATGACGGCGGGGAATCGGCACATCCGGGGTTGAGCGGGGGACATCCACGGAAGTACGGTGAGTCGTAGGTATCCACTGCTGATGAGGGCGAGCCCATGGCGTAAAATCATGGTGTTCCGTCGCGGAGGAACCATCATGCCAAGTACCCGATGATGTATGGCGGGGAGATGGTGGGTAGACCGGGCGGTAGTCGTGGTAACCTCCTTGGCGGGGAGATGGTGGGTAGACCGGGCGGTAATCGTGGTAACCTCCTTGGCGGGGAGATGGGGGGTAGATCGGGCGATACTCATAGTACGATCCTTGAGGGGGATCGTTGTATGAGATCGGGGTGGCACTCGGAGGAGTTTGATGGTATGTCGCCCGAGGATCGTAGTACGAGCCTTGGTGGCCAGTTTGGCTGGAACTCGGGCCGGCGCCTTGGGGTGAACTCGGGCCGCCAACTTGGGGAGAACTCGGGCCGACACCTTGGGGAACAACCAACGGAGGCGGTACTTTCCACCCGGGATATGGCGTGACTTCGGGCTCGATGGGCCTTTCCTGGACCCTCTTGCTTGGCTTCCTCTCGTATGGTGGTGGGGGATCGGAGACATCAACTTGTACCGGAGGTGGCGGCGGTGCGGGCATGGGCGGATATCTACCCTTGAGCTCTGATACAGCCAAGAAGACTGTTTGCCATCCGCCTGATGAAGCTCACATCTTCATTTCCCAGCTCCACTCTCCCGGTAGTAATGTCTTTAATCCGCTCAATCCCGTCAGTCTAAATCAAAATACAATAAGTTAGGAAACAATTTAGGAACTAAAATAATACATTTAATTATGTAGAGTCGAATATACTTACTAATGCACCATCGGCAGCACCCTCCGGAGTCATGTAACGGACCGATGTTTGCCGATATCGATCCAAGTACAGGTCATGATACCCCATTCTCCCCACTGCTGATGGAGTGACAATATCTTGCGATTGTCGTTCATTCCACATGGCGATGAATTTCGCCAGCTTCAAGGGCCAATCTCGAGTACCTTGCCGCCCATCTCGACCATGGAAGGCATTTTGACTTTCGGGGACCTCCAATGGAATGCACTGCTCCCGACCAAACTGACGGAGGCATCGATCCGGCAAGTGCCACTCCACGATCCCAAAACAAATGAGAGGTACCCTCGTGCACCATTGGCCGATATGCTCGGGGAATTGCTGGAGATGCCAATGAACGATGTTCTCCGGGTATGGATCGAAGATGATCTACACGCGCAAAATGAGTAAATTAAGAAAGTTAGAATTGGAAAAATACATGTCTTCCATGGCAAAAAGGTATAAATGGATCGGAGTATAGAAGTTACCTCTCCTTCCCAAAGTCGCTCAAACCTCCGCCGATACTCATCCAACTTGTGTTGGGCAAGGTTGTCACAAGTTGAGTGTCCGATCCACCTTATTAATAAAACAATAATCGAAATTACAATAAGCTAAAACACAAGGGAAAATCAACCAAGAAAAAACATGATGGGTATGAGAAGTTTACCTTGTTCCATAAGCTTCCCCTCTTAGGGGATGATCGATTGGCCAATCCCGGTCGGGACGTTGTACCGGTGCAAGCCATGGCATATGTTCCCAAGCCCAAAATTGGACGATGAACATTGCGCCGCCGACCTCCCTCACAGCTTTTAGAGAGGCATTGCACAAGTTGTGGTAGATATTGGCTAGGCAAGCGGATGCCCAACTATACTCCCCCATCTCCTCCCAACTACCGAGGATGATCCTAAGCCATCCACAACTAAGGAGATTGCTTGCTTTTTTGGAGAAGAACACTCCTCCGATCATGCCAATGAGATAGACCCGAGCATATCTCTCGATCTCATCCTCCGGACTTTCCTCGGTTAGGGGATGACTCTCGTAATGCTCTCTAAAGTACTTCGTCAACCAAGTAATTGACACTTGGTGTTTCCTCATTGGTGGCGTGCGATCGGTCGCATCAACTTGCCCCTTCACTGGTACTTTTACTCCTAAAACACTATAGATGAAATGAACCCAACAGGGCATACCGTCGACATCGTCGGGGCATGATCACTCATGCACACGGGTTTGCCGTCGATGGGGAGATGGGTTAGGATGGCGACATCCTTTAGTGTGATGGTGGCCTCTCCTTCTCTCAAGTTGAAGCAATGTGTCTCCTTTCTCCATCTCTCAACTAGGGCGGTGATGAGTTGGCGATCAACTTTGATGCCGTTAAAATGCCTAATCGAGTCCAATCGCGCCCTTTTGAGAAAGGGCAAGATGGCTGGGTGGAATGGGAGCACATTGGTCGTACCCCTGTAACGGATTATTGTTTGTGCCTCCTAGAGAAAATTTACACGTTAATTATTATATATTAGTAAGGGTTTAATCCTTATAACTAAATTACTTAAATTAAATTATTTAACTTGAAGCAGAATTTTATTATCATAAAAAGATATTTCATATAATTAACATAATAGCATTATAAATTAATAATACTTTAAAGAGATACATACATATTATCATAAAACGAACATCCTAAATTAATAAACATAATAACATTATAAATTAATAATAATTTAAAGAGATACATACATATTTTGATAAAACGAACATTCTAAATTAATTAACATAATAACATTCTAAATGAATAATAATTTAAAGAGATACATACTAATTATCGTAAAATAAACATACTAAATTAACTAAATTAAATGACATTGTTAATGAATCAATATTTTAAAGAGAAACATACATATTCAATTGTTTGAGTTTAATAAAATTCCATTTGTACACATAAAAATAAATCGTAAGGACTGTTTGGTAAATTATTTAATCGTTTTGGTTGTTTTAAATAATTTAATCGAATACAAAGCAACACTCGTTAGACTCTTAGAAGAGGTATACATCTTCTTAGAAACGCAGTCTTGTTGACAGAAAAAGGGGGATCCGAGGATCTCTTAATACCCGATTTTCCCAGGGAATGGGAGGATATGATAATCGCTTAAAACCCCATTTCCTTAGACGTGCATCTCTTTATAAAGAGTCGAAGTAAGTGGCGCAATGTATTCGATTAAATTATTGAAAACAACCAACACGATTAAAAATTCAACATTAATTTATTTTATATTTCACTAAATACATTAACAAAATAAAAGAAGGACAAATGGTAAAGAATTGTATGTACCGGGTGAGCGTTCCAAACATCCCTTGACCGATGGTTGGGTTGGTCGTACAAGTCGGTTGGATCCAACGGTCCTTGCTCGAGATAATACCGTTGGTTGTAAATATCGACGTCCTCCGCAGCCTACGAGAAAATAACAACGAGGTTAGTAAATAGATTAATTAAAAAGCAAGATAACAACAACAAAAATTAAACCCGAATAATGAGTACGTACCGCTTCAAATTCATCACGGTAAACTCCTTCTCCTTGCCACCAATCGGCCATTTTTTCAGCGGAATTCGGACAGAGCTTCGGCTCGGCGGGTTTTGAGGAAAAAACCTAAGAAATGTTTTCTAATGGCAGATCGGACTTTGCCGCAACCAATAGACCACTATTTCCTAGGCTTTTGGGAGGGGGAGGGTTTAGAGAGATAAAACTTAGAGAGAGAAGGAAGAATGGGTTGAAGGTGTGAAGAAATGAGAGGGGGAGGGGGGCTATTTATAGTTTTTCATATCGCAGGCTCCAGGGACGAGGCGGTAATTTTGCCCCGCGCGGATCGCATTCTTCCAATGCGTTTTCCGCTTCCCCAGGCGCAGATTGCACCCTCCCAATGCGGTTTGACTGACACCGGCGCGGATTGCATTGCTGGCGTGAGATCTGGGATCCAAGGCGCGGATCGCTCCGCTGGCGTGCGCTGAGCCGTTGGATCGGCTATCAATCCGACGATCTGGTGGATCGCAACGCGTCCTCCCCAAATCGCATCAGTCTGGTGCGTTTAATATTATGGATTGCACCCCTCTGATGCGTTTTACATGTAGATCGCATCTGTTTGGTGCGTTTTACATTTAAAACGCATCTTAGGGGTGCGTTCCAAAAAATAAGGTGCTAGTTTTGTAATTTTTTTTACATGGGTGCTATTTTTGTAAAAAAAAAATTTTAAGGTGCTATTATTGGAAAAATCCCTTGTGACCATGACCGTGGCACTTAAAGCATTGAATCGACCCACTGGAGGTTCCAATTCGTTCGGCTGGTGATGAATTCTTTAGAGCAGGTTTGGCGATGTCTGGTTTAGTCACTTCAGTTGTTGTCTCTGCTCCCGGTTTTGGGAATCGTCTTCCCACGGACAGCTTCTGCTGCTTCTCTACTTTGATGGCGAGATGAAGCACATCTTCTAATTCCACAAAAGGCCTCAATTCTACTTCATGTCAAATTTCTCGACTCAGCCCATGAAGAAAGCGGGCGATCGTTGCTTCTCTATCTTCCCTAACATCAGCTCTCATAAGAAGCAACTCGAGCTCTCGATAGTACTCCTCGACGCTCCTGGATCCCTGTCAAATTCCCTGCAATGTTTCATGGAGTTCTTGTTGGTAATACGCAGGAACGAACCGTCCTCGCATCAGTCCACGAATTTCCTCCCGGGTTGCCACAGGAACCTGTCCATTTTGTCGCCGACGAGTCTGGAGTTGCTCCCACTACTGAGCAGCGTACTCCGTAAACTCATAGGTAGCTAAAGCTCCCTTCTACTGGTGTGTGTAGCGCTCACATTGAAAGAATAACATAATCTTTCATTCCCAATCCAAGAATGCCGACGCGTTCAACATACCCTGAAACGTCGGCACTGAAAGCTTAATCCCATGTGGGATTTCCGGCTCGTCGTCGCGGTTTTCCCGATGATCTCGCACCTGTCGTTCACGGTTGGGCTCAGCTACAATTATACGTCGCTCAAGCTCCTCAAATTCGATCCAATACTGCTTTGTTTACTTCAGGGATTTCGTCATCGTGAAATTCCCTGTCTTGGACTCTGTTTTCCGGTAGTGCAATTGCGTCAAATCGTTGATCGATTTCGCGCTTCAATTGGGCCAATTGAGCCTGAAATCTTGCATCAATCTGGGTCTAAAAATCCTCCATGTCGAACTGATGTCCAGCCATGGTACGTTGGGTCGATTGATCCTGGCTTTCGTCTCTCGCCTTGTGCTTTGGCTTTTTCCATCGAAGAGCAGGGTCAGCTGACGCAAAACCTTTCGATCTCGTCCACGACGTAGTTGCCGCCACGTTTTCCTCCGTTTTATCCTCTGTGTAGAACCAGGCGATGATGCCACTTGATACGAGCACAGTTGTGCTTGTAGGGAATCAAAGTGCATAGCTCAACTCTCTCCCAACGAAACTTGAATGCAATCAACTTAAAACGAAAATAAAACGGACCAAAGGTGCAACTTCACACTTGGGAAGAGGCTCGATTGGTTTGAGTCAAAGCTCGGCCACGATTGATGTGGTTTCAATCGATAGGAAGCAAGCTTGCTGCTGGAACTCGACTAACACACAAGAAATTGGGTGACAAAGTCACAACTTTTGTATTCAATCCACTCTACCCTTACACGAGGCTTTCAACCCCTTTAAATAAGCTCTTGACTACGTTAATTAACCCTACACAAACATGGAAGAATGAGTTCTAAATCTAATTGAACAAGGAAACAAAATCCTAACTTGAAAAGGAAACAAAATCGACAGCTTCACATCCAAGCAACTGCCTTCCTGCGCAAGCAATCATTCCAAAGTCCATAGCCACTTTGAGACCCTTAATCGTGGTGTTCCAGGAAGGTTCGATCCAAACCGGCTTCAGTCGTTAGCTCTCCTGAACTTTTAGTACAAGTTCCAACTTCCCCTTTCCATCGATGATGTCCCAGTTGCATTTACTAAGCCTCCAAAGTTGGTATCTCACACCTGTTCCAGACTTAGCCAAAAACAGCCAATCTTCCAGTTTCACCATAGCAACTTGGGACTCCTGAGAATGACTCTCAATCGATCGATCTTGCTTGGACAATGCTTCAAACGTATAGAGAAACATTTGAAGTTCAATTATACACCCTTTCCCTTTGACTCCATCAACCAGTATGTAAGAAACGAACCCGTAAAGTAGGCACCATGAAATGATCCAAACACTTAGCCAAATTCTTCTGTTTTTCCTTCCAACGTTGATTGATCCTTGGGAGTTTAATTCGAGCTTCAACAGGAAGCTAAATGGGATCATATCAATCACTTTCTTGATTCCTTCATCTTGCAACCATCCAATCAAACAAAAACTATTCCACGGAGTGTACCAATTTGTTTTCTAACAAGAAAACTTGCGTGGAAATAGAACTTATTGCACTTATTGAACAAAGAAAATTATGCAATCCACAACTCTTCGAACAATGCTATTTCATAGCTTTTCGGGAACAATCTACGCTATGTTACTATAAGTAAGACCTTCATAAACTACTGTTATGGCCACTTTACAAAGAAAAGATGAAATGTTACATATGTGTCAGAGTTGTAATTTTGTGAACCCTTCTTGTGTTTTCATTTCTCCTATTTATAGCCAAAAGATATAAGCTCTTTGGTAATTGTTGGTTTTGTGTCAAATCATCATCGTCTTGGTTCTTGACGTCGAGGCATGTTGACGTTGATTTAAATTTAATCAAGTCTTTTCATCTTGACCTGGCTAGAAGGGGTTGATGTCTCGTTGCCTTGCCTCCATGGTGAATTCTTGATGACATTGTCACATGTCATTGTGGTCTCTTTGGCAGCCTCAAGGACTTTGGTGGCTCCATACTTGTCATCTTCATTATTCTCATCTTACCAACCATCTCAACTATACGTCTTGTTGCTCAGGACTTATTGTGCACTTTGGCAGGATGAGAGATGTGTCACACGTAACCACAGTGGCGGAGCCACCTTAAGCCCAGGAGAGGCTATAACCCCCCTAAACTCTCAAAATCATGTATACAATATTAATTTTAGATGTAAACAAGGTAGAACACAATAGATGAGTAACTTGATTCCTGGTAGGTTCAACCGTTGGTTTCAACTTCGTAAGCACCCTTTCAATACAACGCAAATTAAGCACCCTTTCAACACAATAGATGAGTAACTTGAATCCTAAGTTGTTCCTCACCACCGTTTCCCAAGGCGGCTAGCACGAGTTTTGTATCTGGGCCGAGTTTCATCCTCTACTGTGTTTTTTTTTTCTTTTTGTTGAGCATGATCACAATTGAACTCAAACACATGGGTATACTAACTTGAACACAAATCATCGTCTTTGCCCATCATTTTGAAACTCATCTTGAAATATTGTCGGCGGAATCCTATGTTGTTCCCCACCATCGTTTCCCAAGGCTGCTACCCGAGGTTTGTATTGGGACCGTTTCATCCTGTTTAGTATTTTTTTTTTCTTTCTTTCTCTTTTTCCATTTTGTTGAGCATGATCACAATTGAACCCAATGCCACTACCGAAAATCCATAACATATCTACTCAATGTTGGCGAGTTTTGTATCGGGACCCAGTTTCTTTCGCTTTAATGTTTTGTTCTTTCATTTTTTTCTTATTGTTGAGCATGATCACAATTGAACTTAAATCCATGGGTATCCAACGTAATTCAATCCGGTCAAAGCAACTTGAAACAAACTTTGGCATTTATAAATTTCTCTTTTTTCTTCTTTTAGTTGGGAAGACAATTGAACCTGAATCTAAGATTTTGACGTGTTATATTGTGAGCGAGCTTTATCCTCTTTTGTAGTTGGCAGGTTGGACAAAGTGTTAATTTGTTAAAAAATTGTTCAAAACGAGTTGAAAACATTGTTGACCAGTTTTAGATCGAAAGCGAGTTTTTGTACGCTTTAATATTTTTTTATTTCTCATTTTCCTTTTTGCTAAGAATAACAATTGAACTCTGACCGATTGTTGACGCGTTTCGTATCGAGATCGAGTTTTATTTGCTTTTGTAATTGACAAGTTGGGTAAATTGTGAATTTGTTAAAACTGGGTTGACCCGGGTCAAAGTGAGCTGAACGCAGTGTTGAGAGTTTGGGGTCATGAGCGAGTTTATCTACTTTTGTATTTTTTTATCTTTTTTCTTATGTTTGAGAATGACAATTGAGTCCAAACGCATGGGTATACAACCTAATTCGACGCGGCCAAAGCGACTTGAACTCGATCTTGCAGGTTTTCGGCGGGAGCGAGTTTTATCTGTTTTTGTAATTGGCGTGTTGTGCCTGGTGTGGATTTGTCCAAAAATCGGTCCAATCAAGTCAAAACGAGTTGAACTTGGTGTTGACGAGTTTTTAGTCGGTAGCGAGTTTTAGCTTGAGTGTTTTCATTTCATTTTTCCTTTTTTTAGAAAGACAATTGAACCCAAATCCATGGGTATCCAACCTAATTTTACCCAATCAATGCGAGTCGAACCTCCTCAAACCCGCAATCAGTCCAAAATTTTCATAAAGGAGAACCACGATTACCTCAACCCGAAAAAAAAGCCAAAATAGTACGACTGAGCCCAAATTTTAGCAGTATACGACTGAGCCCAAAAAAAAGCCAAAAGAGTACGACTAAGCCAAACACCTCTAAAGTTTCGCTTTTCAAAAAACTGAAATTTTTCATAACGTAAAAGCAGAAGCTCCGATTTGAAAATACAAAATTGTTCTTAGCATATATTATTCTTTCTAGAAAACATAATTTTCTTTCATTTATATCATTATAAAATAATTGAAAAATAGTATTATTTAATATAAAATAAATCTAACTTGATCCTTTTTAAATACTTTTTATTTTTACAATTTGTATTCATATTTTATGTTAAAAATCTTTTTAGTCATTTTTTATTACCTCTTATATTAGAAAGTAATTCTGATAGATTTTCAATTAAACAATCAATATTTTTTTTAAAATACTTCTTGAAAAGATCCAGAGAAGCTGCTTCATTCTGCAAAATTTACTGCAGGATCAATTACTAGCCATATAAATTGAAGCGTCGTGAAAGAAGTTTTAACATAAATAATTTATTCGACGACCCTTCTAGCTTATGCTAGTTCATCGACCATATGTTATTTTAAATAACAAACCTATGAAAAGAATGATTAAGACTGAAATAAGAGTACTTTCACTTTTTGGTCAACATTAAAACTACTACTATTTAAAATATTTGTTTTTCTAATACGCGAAGCGAAATGGAGTAGACTTTTGCTAGTATATGTTTATTTAAGCACAAACATTTTAATCCAGCTCCCAAGTGCTACATTACCACAGTATATAGGTACATTGTTTGAATACCACAATAAATATGGTCTTTCTTATCATATCTTACAATATTTTTGTAGAAAATCCCATATAAGCACGGCCTCTAGCTTTGGAGCTTAAAATGCAGCAAAGCAGAAGCCCCATCAAGGCCTTTACCATGGAAATGGGCATTAAACTCCGCTGCCGTGGTTTTCCGGTATATTGGAGGATTGTCTGCTGAAACCAATTCTTCAATGGGTCCATATTCTATTGGATTGGGTGTAAAGCCAGTGGAGAAGAAACTGGCCACAGAAACTCTTGCTCCGACTTTCGTCGCCAACACCCTGTGCTCCGCACTTACAAATCTGTCATTGGATATTAGCTGCAGTACTTGGCATTACCACCAGAAAGCTAACCAGTCAGTTCTGAACAAACAAAATTGTAACCAACCAAGAAAGCATAATCTGAGTTGGAGAAACTTGCCTGGAGTAAATCTCCAAGATTGACCACCAGAGCTCCGGGCAGAGGAGGCACGTCGACCCATTGGTTCCGGTGAAGAACCTGAAGTCCTCCGATATGGTCTTGAAGAAGCACGGTAATGAAGTCGTTGTCCTCGTGCTTGCACGCTCCCAATGTCAGTTCCGGTTGAGGGCACGCCGGATAATAATGGCAGAGTACCTGAAGTCCCTTTGTGCAATTCAGCTCTTTCAGATGACTCGATCTCAATCCCAAAGCTTCCGACAGTAACTGGAAAAGCAATTCCCCCAATTTCAACACTCCCTCGGAGTATTCCGTCAGGATTTCTCTACATATAACAATTTGGGAACTTCTTATTGTCGATCATCATAACTTAAAATCTTCAATACTATCAGAAAGATCTGAACTTTGTGAAAAGTGATATCAAGCTTATTATTTGGCGCGCACAAAATAATTTTACCTGCAACAAGCGGGCAGTTCTTCAGGGGCGGGAGGGTCAGGAGCCATACGATACAGAGTGGTGTCCCTCCAATTGGTAAACGCTCCCGAGTATAAGTCGAAGTTGCTGTTGTGCACAATCTTCCGCTTGTTGTCCCGTGTGTAAAACTGCTTCTTCAGCTCCACATCCTGCTCGTAGAACCTGTGAACCCCTGCTTTCATCTCTTCCAGCACGGTCTCTGGAATCCCATGATTCACCACCTGGAAGAAACCCCAATTCGCCGATGCATCCCTGATTTTCTCGACGATCTGCTTACGCTTCGCGGGGTCGCGGTCCGCACCTTCCAGATCGATGATGGGGAAGGAGAAGTTCGGATCGTCGGGTGAAACAGGGGATGCTCTGTCCACGCTGTCGAGAAGGTGCGGCGGAGCCTGGAAGATGCGAGGGATCTGAGTCACTCCGGCGTCGACCAGACCTTTGACTCCGGCTTTGGTCTCGTCGAAAGCCTTGAGCTCCGCGAGACGGTCGTAGGCAGCCGAGCACTCGTTCTGCTGCGGTTGGGTGGATGCTGCCATTTTCGTGCTCTGTTTGAGGAGCTTCTTTGCAAGAAGAGACTGGAATGGAAATTGTAACTTATACACAGTAATATGAAGGAATGTAGAAAATGTGGGATTAGTCTGTTTAACTTTTCTGCGCAAGTGCTTTATCTCTTTTGTCGGGACGTATGATTCTGGTCAAAAACGTGATCAACTTTTCTTATAGTTTCGTTTATTGATAATACAAACAAATTTTGATTTGGGGCCGTTGCACTGTATTGATCATTGTGCAATCGGATCACAATTCATTTCATAATGGAAAAGGTAGATGTAGACACGTTCTACCATTTATATAAAAAGGTTATAATGTAAATTGGAAGATTGTTCATCACATTACTAAAAACAGAACAACAGTCCCAATCACTAAAAATATTTAATTTTATTTGTTATTACTAGAATTAGTTAAATATTTCAAGTTTGATCATTATCTGTTGCCTTCCATTGGGATTTTTCCAATAATAGCACGTTTAAAAAAGACAATTACAAAACTAGCACCTAGCCGAAAAAATTTACACTAATAGCACCATTTTTAATAGACCGCACCCTCCAGGTGCGTTTTATGTATAAACCGCACCTTGGAGGTGCATTCTGTGTTTGGTGGGCAGCGGCCTTTGGAACCGCAGGATGAAGATGGGATCCAGTGGCGGACGGCTTGCCAGTTCAGCGATCCTTGCCACGGATCGAAGACTGCTGCGCCGAGGTGCGGTCAAACAACGGGAAGCGCAAACCGCCTCGGCAAGGTGCGGTTTTGACTGGGGGAAAATTACCCGACCGCCCCTGGAGGGTGCGGTCTGATGGGTATAAATACTCCATCCCCCTCTCATTTTTTCACACCACAACAATTCTCCACTCTCTCTCTCTCTCTCTCTCTCTCTCTCTCTCTAGAATTAGCTCTCTAACCCCTCACCTCCCCTCCCAAAAGCCTAGAAAATAGTGGTCTGTTGGTTGCGGCTAAGTCCGATCTGCCATCAGAAAATATTTCTTAGGTTTTTTCCTCAAAACCCGCCGAGCCGAGCCAAATCTCTTTCCGAATTTCCCGAAAAAATGAGTGATTGGTGGCAAGGAGAGGGAGTTTATGTTGATGAATTTCTAGCGGTACGTACTCATTATTCTGGTTTAATTTTTGTTGTTGTTATAAGCTTTTTAATTAATCTATGTACTAACCTCGTTGTTATTTTCTTGTAGGTTGGCGAGACGTGGATATATACAACCAACGGTATTATCTCGAGCAAGGACCGTTGGATCCAACCGACTTGTACGACCAACCCAACCATCGGTCAAGGGATGTTTGGAACGATCACCCGGTACATACAATTCTTCACCATTTGTCTTTCTTTTATTTTGCTAATGTATTTAGTGAAATACAAAATAAATTTATGTTGAATTTTTAATCGTGTTGGTTGTTTTCAATAATTAAATCGAATACATAGCGCCACTTACTTCAACTCTTTATAAAGAGATGCACGTATAAGGAAATGGGGTTTTAAGCGATTATCATATCCTCTCATTTCCTGGGAAAATCGGGTATTAAGAGATCCTCGGATCCCCCCTTTTTTTGTCAAAAAGACTGTGTTTGTAAGAAGATGTATACCTCTTCTAAGAGTCTAACGAGTGTTGCTCAGTATTCAATTAAATTATTTAAAACAATCAATACGATTAAATTATTTACCAAACAACCAATATGATTTATTTTTATGTGTACAAAATGAATTTTATTAATTTCAAACATTTGAATATGTATGTTTCTCTTTAAATTATTGGGTTAATACCTTAGTTTGGCCCGAAGTTTAGCGTAAGTGACAGTTCTGACCCCATTTTTCAAATAAGACGCTTATGGCCTACTTTTGAAATTATTGGACAGATTTGGCCCGAAACTTGTGTTGACTGTTAATATTAACGGTTAAACATATATTCCATCAATGACTCAGCATCCAACGCTGAAGTGGCATCCACGTCACTTATTAATTAAAAATTAAAAATCAAAACATTAAATAAGAAATAAGAAGTTCAGAAGACTTCTCTTTCCTCCTTTTATTCCATAAAAAAAGCCTAACTCATATCTCATCCCTTTCTCTACGTTTCTACAGACTAGAGTAAAGATTGCAGACCCCCAACAAAATCCCCACCCGCCGGTCTCTCTCCAATTTTCTTTTTCTTCTTCTTCCTCTGAAAATGGCCACCGCTCGGCCGCTCACCCAAACACCATCAAAGACATTTCACATAGCACGTCAATCGGCTACCACTCTAGTAAATGCTCTGTTTTCTGGTTCGAAGATGGCAGATCTGAAAAATCCAACGCAAAATCGCAAAATCCAATTGGAGTCCGGAGATTTGGAACCCGTCCCCGACGCCATCTCCGATGTTTTGGCCTAGAGCGACGCCTCTAGTTGCTTCCTGGTCCTTCCCTTCCGATGCTGACCAGAGATCCCAACCGCCGACGGGGAGGTGGTGGCGAGGAAGAAAGAAGCAGAGGATGGGTTTACGATGAGACGATGACGGAGGGTGAGGAGAGAGAAATAAATCTCGATTGGGTAGCATCGTGGCGTCGTAGTCGTCGTCACCAACCACCACCATCTTGACTCCTGCCGCCACAATCCCTTTTTGCTTGAGATTGGAATTTTAGGAACTTTTTTTTATCCCCCTTAAAGCAGCCACCACCGATCAAAATCGAAAAGTACGGCGTCTCCCTCAATGGAGAAAGATGGATTGGTGGACGAGGGTGAAACAAGTGCGATGGGGAAGAAGTAAAGGGCGGATTGTTGCGGTGGCGGACTTGCGATGGAAGGGGAAATATCGGAGGAAGATGGAGGGTCGTTTGCGGCAAATGAATGGGGGCTTTTTTCAAAGTTTAATTTATTTTATTTTTATGTTTTAATTTTCAAATGAGGTGGACGAGTCTAGTCAGCAGTGAATGTTGAGTCACTAACGGAAAAAATGGTTGACCGTCAATTATAACAGCAAAATCGTTTCTGAGGCCAAATCTGTCAAATAATTTTAAAAGTAGGCCATAAATGTCTTATTTGAAAAATGGGGTCATAACTGACATTTACGTTAAACTTCGTGCCAAACTAGGGTATTAACCCTAAATTATTATTCATTTACAATGTTATTTATGTTAATTAATTTAGTATGTTTGTTTTACGATAATATGTATGTATCTCTTTAAATTATTATTCATTTAGAATGTTATTATGTTAATTAATTTAGGATGTTTGTTTTATGATAATATGTATGTATCTCTTTAAATTATTATTGATTTAGAATGTTATTATGTTAATTATATGAAATGTATTTTTATGATAATAAAATTATGCTTGAAGTTAAATAATTTAATTAATTTAGTTATAATAAAAACCTTACTAATATATAATAATTAACTTGTGAATTTTCGCTAGGAGGCACAAACAATACTCCGCTACAGGGGTATGACCAATGTGCTCCCATTCCACCCAGCTATCTTGCCTTTCTCAAAAGGGCACGGTTGGACCCGATTAGGTATTTTAACGGCATCAAAGTCGATCGCCAACTCATAACCGCATTAGTTGAGAGATGGAGAAAGGAGACCCATTGTTTCAACTTTAGAGAAGGAGAGGCCACCATCAAGCTAAAGGATGTCGCCATCCTAACCCATCTGCCCATCGATGGCAAACCGGCGTGCGCGAGTGATCATCCCCACGAGGATCGTGACGGTATGCCCGGTTGGGTTCATTTCATCCACAGTGTTTTGGGAGTGAAAGTACCAGTCAAGGGGAGCGTTGATGCGACCGATCGCTTGCCACCAATAAGGAAACACCAAGTCTCAATTACTTGGTTGACGAAGTATTTTAGAGACCATTACGAGAGTCATCCCTAACCGAGGAAAGTCCGGAGGATGAGAAGGAAAGATATGCTCGTGTCTATCTCATAGGCATGATCGGAGGAGTGTTCTTCTCCAAAAAATCAAGCAATCTCCTTACCTGTGGATGGCTTAGGATCATTCTCAGTAGTTGGGAGGAGATGGGGGAGTATAGCTAGGCATCCGCTTGCCTAGCTAATATCTACCACAATTTGTGCAATGCGTCTCTAAAAGCTGTGAGGGAGGTCGGCGGCGCAATGTTCATCTTCCAATTTTGGGCTTGGGAGCATATGCCATGGATTGCACCGGTCCAACGTCCCGACAGGGATTGGCCAATCGATCATCCCCTAAGAGGTGAAGCTTATGGTACAAGGTAAACTTCTCATACCCCATCATGTTTTTCGTAACACATTTTCCCTTGTGTTTTAGCTTATTGTAGTTTCATTATTGTCTTATTAATAAGGTGGCTCGGACACACAACATGCGACAACCTTGCCCATTACAAGTTGGACGAGTATCGGAGGAGGTTTGAGCGACTTTGGAAAGGAGAGGTAACTTCTATACTTCGATCCATTTATATCTTATTTCCATGAACTACATGTATTTTTCCAATTCTGATAAACTTAAGTTACTCATTTATTTCTTGTAGATCATCTTTGATCCATACCCGGAGAACATCGTTCATTGGCATCTCCAGCAATTCCTCAGTCATATCGGGCAATGGTGCACGAGGGTCCCTCTAATTTGTTTTGGGACCGTGGAGTGGCACTTGCCGGATCGATGCCTCCGTCAGTTTGGTCGGGAGCAGTGCATTCCGTTGAAGGTCCCCAAGAGTCAAAGGGCGTTTCACCACCGAGATGGTCGGCAAGGTACTCACGATTGGCCCACGAAGTTGGTGGAAATGATCGCGATATGGGAGAACCGACAACTTACGGATATAGTCACTCCAACAAATGTGGGTCGAATGGGGTATCATGACCCATACATGGATAGATATCGGCAAACATCGGTTCGGTACGTGACTCCGGAGGGTGCGGTCGATGGTGCATTGGTAAGTATATTCCGTCTAATAAGATTAAATTTATGGCTTGTTTCATACCCATACATCATTAGTCTTATCTTGCTAACCTTTTTATGTGATTTAGGCTGATGGGATCGAGCGGATCAAAGATTTGACCCATGGGAAACATGAAATGGGCAGTGAAGATGTGAGCTTCATTAAGAGGATGACAAACAGTCTGCTTGGCTGTATCAGAGCACAGGTCGTGATGATCGTAGATACCCGCTCATGCCCGCACCGGTGCCACCTTCGGTACAAGTTGATGTCCCCCACCCCCCACCACCATACGAGAGAAAGAAAAGCAAGAAGGTTCGGGAAAGACCTCATGTTCCTGAGATAAGGCCGTTGGAGGCGTGGAGAGTGTTGACCCCCTTGGTTGTGGCACACGGTGGCAGTCCGAGCTCACATCAAGATCCTCGCCCGTGCCAATCCCAAGAACCCTGCCCGGGCCATTCCCAAGATCCGCGCCCGAGCCACTCCCAAGATCCCCATCATGATCCCCACCCGACCTACCACCATGATCCCCACCCGAGCTCATACTATGATCCCCGCCCGAGCTACCATCAATCCCCATATGATCCCCGACCGATCTCATACCACGATCCCCGCCCACCATACTATGATCCTCGGCCGATCTACCCCCATGATCCCCGCCCAAACTTTTTCAACGAACCCCCCACATCCTCGGGCACTTGGCATGACGATTCCTCCACAACTGGGCATCACAAGAAGTAAAGAGGCGCTTACCAAAGCCAAAACTCTAACTTCAATCCTATTCCTCGCCCTCTTCAGTCGTGGCCACCTACCCCTCACCGTATGAGCGTGGATGTCCCCCCGCTCGACCCTGGAAGCGCCGCCTACCACGGATCGATGCCGACGCAGCACCGACCAGCGCCCTTGCATGGCCCATCGAAGCTTGCCACCGCAACCACGGATGGTTACTCCCGTCGGGCGTCATACAAGGAGCAAGAAAACATTGCAGCCCCATGAGTCCCAGGTACCTTCCTTGAGATGTATTTTTAGTTTTATCATTTTAAGTGTTGTTTTTAGTTATGTTTTAATTATATGTACTTGAAACCCTTCCTCCTATTTTAGTTTCTTTAATTGAGTGTTGTTTTAGTTTTTATTTTAGTTCTAAGTACTTAGCTTTAACTATTTCGATCCTGTTAACTTAAGACTTGAGTGTTAATTGAGGGTTATTTGTCAAACATGAAAGTTCCAAGCATCATAGCTCTAACTCCGACAATAATTGAAAACATACATAACAAGTACAAACAATTGAAAACCGCACACTATGTCGCATTAGCTGAGTCCCCTACATCAGGACCCGGATTTTGCGAACCAATCGAACCTGGACAACTTCGTTTATCATGCCCTGGAACTCTGCATACTGAACATCGTCTTGGCCCTCGTGGTGGTCTTCCACTTTGATCCATTTCGTTCTAAATTCTCTTTTTCCTCGATCGACCCGGTTCACGCCTCTGTCCGATCGGCGGGATTATCAACTTTGCTGACTACACCGCCCAATAAGCTTCATCAGGCAATGCACGGAAACTCCGACCATAAAAATTTTTGAGTGAGGCAATATTGAAGAATGGACTGATGAATTGACGGGGGTCTTTGCTCCTGTTTTTAATTACAGCCAATGCATGAGAACATGGCCACCCTCTCCCTGGATACTTCTAGCATGAGCACTCACCAAGTATTGTCTTGAAATTTACCAAAACTTCATGGCGATGGCCCCCGCGTTTACCATCCTCACGGTGTCCGGTCGTCACGCTAAACTCGCCGGTTGCCCGATTCATAACGGATACACTGTGTCGACTACTCTTGCGATTGTCATGCTCCAGTATTTCTGTGACTTTATTGGTATGGATCTTTCCCTGTGTCTCGTTCGTCCTTCCCCAGTGTAGTCGATTGACGAACCATCCATTCGTTTTCCAGAAAGTCATCTCCACAATGGCAGAGATTGGCAGCGCCCGAACACCCTTGTAAGCAGAATTGATACTCTCTGATGAGTTTGTTGTGGCCATACCCCATCTTGTACCTCCGTCTTTAGAGATGTCCACATGGATAGGTCGTGTCCATCCAGCCACTGTGCCCCTTCAGGGCATAACTCGCGCATCTTATGCAACTTCTCATGAAATTTTTTCTCTTGGTATGCAACAGTTGAGGTAATCACAATCAAGTATTACGTTAGTCATAATTCGGCAATTCATTACAATTCGAACAACCAGCAGGTACTCTCGTTAGACTCTTAGAAGAGGTATACATCTTCTTAGAAACGCACCCTTTTTTACAGAAAAAGGGGGGATCCGAGGATCGCTTAAAACCCCATTTTTCCAGGAAATGGGAGGACCATGATAATCGCTTAAAACCCCATTTTCTTAGGCATGCATCTCTTTAGAAAGAGTTTAACAAGTGTACCATTTATTTGATGTAAGATATTGTTATCAAACCAAATTAAACAACCAATAGAGAGCTTACCAATCCACCACAAATTATCAACAAGCTTCTTCCGCTTGAAATGTTGGTTCCAGTTGCTCTTGAAGTGTCGTATGCACCACCTTCGGGACCACTTCCAGGCTGGATCCAAACATTTTGATTGCAGCTCTAATCCCGGCGTGCCGATCAGAGATTATTGTTAGGTTTGTCCTTCTAGTGACGTGGAGCTGAATTTGCTGGAAAAACCATCCTTAGCTATCAGTATTCTCTCCCTCAACCATGGCGAAGGCTAACGGAAAGACTTGTTTGTTTGCATCCGCCACACTGGCAATCAGTAGAGTGCCCTTGTACTTGCCGGTAAGAAATGTACCATCCACTTGGATCACAGGGACACAAAAGACAAAACCATCAATAGATGGCTTGAATGCCCAAAAAAGTCGTCTGAAATAGCGTTTGTTACCTAGCTCTGGCGGTTGTATCTCTTCATCTTGGTATCGAGGGGAGAAAACAGTGCCAGGGTTAGACGTCTCCAATGCCAAAATCAACCTGGGAAGGAATGAATATGATTCTTCCCAATCACCAAATACGGCGACCAGAGCTTTCTGCTTTCCATGCCACGCCTTCTTATAGTTAATCGTATAACCATAACGACTTGCAATGTCAGCGATTATGACTTTCACCTTCAGGTCAGGATCTTGCTCAATTAGATGATTGATAGCCGCAGCAACCACCCTGGATTTCAACTGTCGATGGCTTTGGGATGTTATGAATGACACACATGTGTGTGTGTTCACCGCACGGGATATGACCAAATGGTCGTGTCTCTTGCAGTTGATGGCCCGAATCCTAACATTGCATCCCTCGTTATGATTACGGCATCTGACTTTGAGCCTTTTTGTATTGGAATGAGTTGTGTGCCATTCAAAATGTCTAGTCATTGCTTTAGTATCAATGGCGTGCCGCACCTCCTTCTTCGAGCCAAATTGTTGCCCCTTCATAAACCCAGTGAGTGGACCCCATACTGGAACCTCCGGGGGTTCCATGTCGCTGTCGACCATCCAATTGTCGTCTGGAATGTGATTGTAGTAGGGGACTGGTACACGGTCATGAGACACCTCATCATCATTATCTGAGTCTGACTCTGGTCCTGAATCATCAGCACCTTCAAGAGGGTCGGAGCTGTCTGCACTGACGTTGTTCTCTCCTTCTTCATCGGAGGGGTCAATGACTGGTGCTGGCAGGGCATCTTCCATCTGATCCAGCTCATGAAAGGCACCTTCATCAGCTCCATAATGGTAGTTGTGAAAACTATCGATGCCTGATTGGAAGTTGTACTCGGGTTGGTTGCCATGGTCCGGTTGAACTTCTTCTTCATATGACGGGAAAGATTGATGATGACCTTCACTTTGCTCTTGGTACTAAAAATAGGAATGAGGATCATGGTAACTTTGGTAGGGATGATCTCCAGAATGACATCCAACGCCTACGACCGGCTCGGTGTAAATGAACATCTCGGCTTTGGAAAGATTGTTGGACCTCAAGAATTCGAGCATGGCAGATATTCCTCGTGCCACAACGACCCGCCTTCTCTGTTTGGATATCGGTACACCATACGATCAACTATTCTCGTGTCATCCATGCAAGTAATGTTAGTACACATTTGATAGAGGTCTTCAAGCATCGGTCTGGTAGCGACCTTTATTTTCTGAAAATGGCCACCGACGTAGGTGAACCCCTTTCCGCTCTCTTCCGTGTAACCATTCTACCGTAACCCAAGCGTGAACTTTTGGAATGTCATCTGCAAAAAAACAGTAGTTCAACTAATATCATAAAAATCACAATTCACAATAAAAAGTAATACAAAATAAACTTACGAGTTAACGTTAACCGCAAAAACACTAGAGACGTAAGGGAGCTACAACAGAAATTTGAAAAGGGAGAAGGAGATGTGTAAAGAGAAGAGGTTTCCCGAGCTGTCTTTTATAGGCAAAATCGTCAAGGTGCGGTTTTCATCTGCCATGTAGCCCCACGTCTGTCAATCTGCATGGCTATATGTTTTGTGTCGGGAAATAATTGGCACACAAACCGCATTGGGGGATGCGGTTTGTGTTGCCAAAACCGCTCTTTGAGGATGCGGTTTGTTTTGGAGAAGCAAAACTGCACCCCCAAAGTGCGGTTTTGCTAGGTCAACACAAGAGCGCATCTAGGCCATGCTGTTTGGTTAGGTCAGACACACAAACCGCATTGCAAAGATGCGGTTTTGGCCAACAATGTCAAATCGCGCCCCCAGGGTGCGGTTTACATACAAAACGCACCTGGGGGTGCGGTTCACAATCAAACCACACCTCTAAGGTGCGGTTTTTATAAAAGAGTGTTATTTTTGTAATTTCTATGGACTGAGTGCTATTTTTGTAAAAAAAAATTAAGGTGCTATTTTTGAAAAAAATCCCCGGAAATTCTGGCCTTTACAATGCCAATCATCTGATTACCAACTAATATTTGTACTTTATGTTAACACACCCTATTTCCATAGCTAAAACGCAATCTGACAACCACGCCAACAGCAGTATACTACCATCTCCGAGGTCCCGACAGTTCATATTGTAATTGAACAACCTCTAATGAAAAAGGTATACTCACAAAGCAACCCACCACTGTGGTTCTTGGCTTGCTATCTCAAGTAAAGCTCATTACTAATCAATCAGTTCCTGGATTAGTTTTTGCTCATTGGCCCAATTCTCAGAGCCTAAAATTAAGCAAAGCAGAGGTTTCGTTGCCATTTTTGAAAACATGAGCAGTGTACTCTTCAGCCGATACTTCCCTATATCTCGGAGGATTATCTTCTGATAGCAACTCTTTCATGGGTTTATACATTCGAGGGTTCGGTGAGAACCCATGAGTGAAAAAGCTGGCCACAGATACTCTCGGCCCGACCTTCTTCGATACCACACGATGCTCCATGCTTACAAACTTGTCATTCGATATCAGCTGAAACGGAAATCACCCACAACCAAAACATAGGAATCAAACAACTCAAATCCTTGCAAACTACTCTCAGAGTTTCAAACTCGAATCGATCAGGAAAAAACCCTTACCTGAAGCAGGTCACCAATGTTAACCACTAGGCTCCCTGGCAGAGGAGGCACATCGACCCAACAATCTTGATGAAGAACTTGAAGCCCACCAATCTCATCTTGCAGAAGCACAGTGATAAAGTCATTGTCTTGATGCTTGCTCGCACCCAGGGTCAATTCAGGTTGCGGACAAGCCGGGTAGTAATGGCACAGTACATACAACCCATTCGAACAATCCATTTCTTTCAAATGATTTCGACTCAAGCCCAGCGCCTCAGACAGCAATTCCAGAATCAGATCCCCCAATTTCAGCACTTCCCTGGAGTAATCAATCAGGACCTCCCTGCACCAATGTAAATCCAAGATTTGTCTCAAAATTCGACCCACTTGGGTAAAATCAAAATTAAACCCATTTACCTGCAGCAAGCGGGCAGGTTTTGGGGCTGGGGAGGGTCTGGTGCCATATTGTAGAAGATGGTGTCCCTCCAATTTGCAAACGGAGAAGTATAGAGATCGAAGTTGCTATTGTAAACGATCTTCTTGGTTTGGTCCTCGCGCTCGAAGAATTGCTTCTTCTTCTCCACATCCAGCTCGTGAAACCTGCGAACTCCAGCGTTCATCTCGTCCAATACAGTTTGGGGAATCCCGTGGTTGACCACTTTGAAGAACCCCCAATTTGCAGATGCGTCCCTGATTTGGTCGACGATCTGGTTTCGGGTTTCTGGGTCTTGAACTTGATTGGCTGTTACGCCTTGGAGGTTGATGATTGGGAAGGTGAAGTTTTTTGGAGCCGATGGTCTGGTGTCGAGGAGGTGAGGTGGGATGTGGAAGATGCGAGGGAGGTGGGTGATTCCGGCGTCGACTAGACCTTTGACGCCGTCTTTGGTTTCGTCGAAGGATTTCAGTTCGGCGAGTCGGTTGTAGTGGGCAGAGTCGTCATGGAGCTCCGCGGTGGATGCTGCCATCTTTTTTTTTTTTTTTTCCAAGGTGACTAGGCGCGATTGAGAATGGCTGGACTGGGAATTAGGCGGTGGGTTCAAACGGCCAATTCTTTGGGCAAAGTAAATCTGAGAGAGCAGTCACCAGTCAACTGTGGAGTTTGTCGGCTTTAATTTGCGTTCAATGTTCATCTGCTCTGACATTTGTTCATTTAGACTTCACTAGTTTGATTTTTTTTTTTTCGTTAATTTTGTAGTCAATTTGTGAAGTGTTGTACTTTAGAAAAAAAGTTAAAGTTATATGTAGGGGAAAAATCCCAAAATACTCTAATTATTAAAAAAAATTCTCAAAATACAGTACTTATAAAATTATTTCCCAAAATACAGCAGTTTGGTTATCACCGCTGCAAACCAAAACAGTGATTGCAATCACCGTTTTAGACCAAAACGGTGATTGCATCATTGCTTTGGACCAAAACAGTGATGTCATCACTGTCTTGGACAAAAGCGATGATGCTATCACTGTTTTTGACCAAATTGAACCAAGAAACGGTGATACTCGACCTTATCATCGCTGATGTGTAAAGCGATCATATCATCGCCATGGAGCAAAACGGTGATAATTGACACGTTTTAGCGCCCTGGTAGGTGGAAATTAGGTCACAGCTACCAAGCAATCACCGCTGAGGACAAGGGCGGTGAACACATCACTGTTTTTGTCCAAAGCGGTGATTGCTAAAAAAAATTTCTATAAATACTGACCTCCACTTCCCCTATTGCTACCTTACAGAAAATTAGTACAAAAATTAGTGTTTTATTAGTCGTTTTCTCAGCTGGTTTGGAGTTGGTTTACTGCTCAAGAAACTCGTCGGGATTCGGTATGTTATAATTATGTAAGGTTTACATGTTGATGTGTTAGTAATTTATATGTCTGTATTTAGTGAATTGCGGTTATTGGAAAATATGTTATGATATATTTAGATTAATTATGATATGATAGATGTTAGTTAATTAGTTATGAATTTAGATGAATTTGTTTAGTTTTCTCATGATAGATCGGGAGTCGGTATGTTATAATTATGTATTGTTTACATGTTGATGTGTTAGTAATTCTATGTCTGTATTTAGTGAATTGCGGTTATTGGAAAATATATTATGATATATTTAGATTAATTATGATATGATAGATGTTAGTTAATTAGTTATGAATTTAGATGAATTTGTTTAGTTTTCTCATGATAGATCAATTACATGCGTTTGTTTATGGGTTTGGATGATATTGTTTTTGTATCCCTAATGTACTAATTACTATACTTAATTATTATTAATTGCAGACATGGTTAAATTTAAGAAGTTTCGGCTTATTATTCGGTGGAATGGTCGGGTGACAAACTCGAACATTGGCATCGACTATGAAAATGGCGAATCCACTATGCTAAAAATTGAGTCGAGATTCTCGTGGCAAGAACTCCATGACATTTGTGCAGAAAGGACTTGTACGGGCGGGCAAAGGAGAGTTGGTCAAATTGCCTACCGCTATCCAAACATGAGTGCTGGCGGAGTCATGTACGAAAAAGTTGTCATAAATGATGATGACTCGGTGAACATGATGATACAGTTCCTATCTGACAACGGGTTGCGGCTTGCAGAGGTGTATGTCGAGACCGAGCCGGTCGGTGAAACTCATTCTCACCAGTATTCTTGTGATGATGGTTTTGCAGGAGGGTATGGCTGGGGTGGTAGTTCAAGTAACTACGGAGGAGGTACTTCTGCAGGAGGGTATGGCTGGGGTGGTACTTCAAGCAACTACGGAGGAGGTAGTTATGAAGGAGGTGTTGGGTGGGAAGAATACCCGCAACATGGTGAGACTGCCGTCAATATCGTTCAGCCCGACGGTGATCAATGGCCTGCTTGGGGTCCAGAGTGGGCTGACATTGAGAACAACCTTCGATCTGGGCGTTCTTCGCATGACCAACAAGACGATGTTGGTTATGCTGGTAACGATGACCATCCTGAGTCGAGCTATCCATTCGCCTCTAGTGACGATGAAAGTGAGGAAGATTTGAGATCAGTCAGTGAGAAGGAAGATACGGACGACATCGACGATATCGATGACAGAGAGGTGGCGTTTCGTCAGGCACCAACGACGTACTACACAGAGGTTCCTGATCAATTTTTATATGGTCAGAACGATGCCCCTGACTATCGGCCCATGCCTGTGTATAATCCGACTGCTCCTTTGGAAGTGGGTATGGCGTTCACTTCGAAAGCCGATGTGCAAGATGCTTTTAGCGAAGAAGCCATGCGCCGTAACTTCGAATGGAAGGTAAAATATTCTGACACCAAAAAATTGCATGTCATTTGTAAGAATGCTGGAGAGGGTTGTGAGTGGCAACTTCGTGCTGCATATATGAAGAGAAAGGGCGTCTGGGTCATGCGAACAGTAGAGAACAACCACAGATGCTCCTCAAACATACTTTCACAGGATCACCGGCAACTGAAAGCAAAAAAGGTGGCGAGAACCATTAAGCACCTAATCGAGGCACAACCGGATATCAAGATAAAAGCTATTATGGGCGAGGTGAAGGATCGACATTCCTACACCATAAGGTATAAGGCGTGGCATGGGAAGCAGAAAACCATGGCTGAGGTCTACGGTGATTGGGATGACTCGTATGCTTTACTCCCTCGACTAATGTCCGCAATGGAGGAGTCCAACCCTGGGACGGTTTTCGTCCCGTGGTACAACAACGTGCAAACTGAAGATCAAGTTCGAGTACAGAACGAGTTGATGTTTCATCGTCTGTTCTGGACCTTCAAGCCATGCATTGACGGGTTTCCCTTCCGCATGCCAGTGATTCAGGTATATTACGGACTCAAAATATTGTACTAGTTCATTACCTTACTAAGTTAAATTTTTACTAACTAATGGTGGATTTTTAACAGGTTGATGGAACTTTCCTTACTGGGAAGTATAAAGGAACTCTTCTCATTGCAACTGGGGTTGATGGAAATTTAAGTATTTTCCCCTTAGCATTTGCATTAGTTGAAGGGGAGAACAACTTAAGTTGGGCATGGTTCTTTGACCAGCTACACGCCCACGTCACACAAAGAATGGGTATTACAATTATATCGGATCGACACGCCGGGATTTAACACGCCGTCAATGGTTTTCCCGACGAATGGGGATGGACATGGTGCTGGTGTATTCGTCACTTCCTTGCCAATTTCCAACACAAATTTGGCAAGAAGAAAGACATAAGAGATCAATTGTGGAGTGCAGGTAGTAATGTAGTTCAGTCGATTCTTCATGGTTTATTGTTGAAATGAAATTTCTTATGGCTTAATTATTTATTCTCCGGTCTTGTAGCGGTTGCACATCAACCAAAGAAGTACGAGCAGAAGATGAAGACGATCCGTCAGATACACCGGGCGGGAGCAATATGGGCAGAAGGTCAAGATCTGCACATGTGGACATTTCACATGGACAACGGGGCTAGATTCGGCATTGCAACTACCAACCATGGCGAGAGCATAAATGGAGTCTACAAGGGCATTAGGGCAATGCATGTATCTGTCCTAGTGGAGATGACATACTGGAAGGTAAACGAGTGGTTTGTGAAGAGACAGGATCTCGCTATAGGGAGGGAGCGTGCTGGTCATTCAATAGCACGTCATATATTTGATGGCATGCAGAAGATCGAGGAGAAATCAAGTAAGCACAGAGTTGTTCTGTTCAACCGCAATGAAGGTATTTTTGCTGTGCAAACAGGTATATGGGGTGGAGGAAGACGTGGGCATAATCGTCAATCCGTTACTCTACACGTAGAAACTCGCACCGGAGAGTGTACATGCCAAAAGTATCAAAACAGAAGAGTACCTTGTTCACATGCAATGGCAGTAGCTAAGTCGATAACCCTCAGCGCTTACAGTTTGGTTAGTCCTTACTACACGGAACAGGCGATCAGGAACTCCTACTCGTCAAGTTTCAGCCCCCTGCCGAATGAAGCTTATTGGCCTGTAGACAATGGGAAGTTGATTATACCACCGTTGCACTTAAAGCGCACCAAAGGTCGTCCTAGGACCGAAAGGATTCACAATGAAATGGATCAATCACAACGTGCCCGACGAGGTCCAAAGCGTTGCTCAAAGTGCAGACAACCGGGTCATGACAAGAGGCGTTGTCCAGGTCCACCTCTAGAGCAAGATTCTGGGCCAAGTACAAACCAACCTTGAGTACTCTTTTGTTCACTTCCTTTTCATTTTCGTTGTTGTGATGTTTAAGTTGGACTTCATGTTTTAATCTTGTTGAGTGATTGTAATGAATGGTGTCTGTTGTTTACTTTGGTACAACATGGGGGAAAATCAACACAATCCCAAACCAAATTAAGACGACATAGATAGTTCATGGAAAAACAACACAAGACCAAAACATAATTAAGACGACATAGATAGTTCATGGAAAAACAACACAAGACCAAACATAATTAAGACGACATAGATAGTTCATGGAAAAACAACACAAGAACAAACATAATTAAGACGACATAGATAGTTCACTGGTTCTCTTCATTTCCCTCTTCCTCCACTTCCCCTTCTCTTCCTCTTCCTCTTCCTCCACGACCTCCTCGACCCCTTCTTCCGCCTTCTCTACCTCCTTCTTCACGAGCCCGCCGGACAACTCCTCGTGGATTCCTCTTAACCCGACCACCCACCGGAGTGTAGACAGGTGGTGGGTGTTGAACAGGCTGAGATGAACCAGAAGCGTGGTGGAAAGTCGATGATGTGTGTTGTTGAAGCGGGGTCTGATACTGAGCAGTTTGTTGCTGATGGTGGAAGTGAGGGGTGCCTTGGGCGAACATGTCATGTTCCTGAGTCGGGGCATAGCTTGACGACCCTCCGGTGCCCTCAGTACTAGTTGCCCACTCACAATGTGGCCATGGTTCAGGAAGTTGAGTTTGTTGAGACGGACGAAGCTCTTCAATGTTTTCTCTCACCCTTCTTCTGCTCCTCCGTGGGGGCTCTTGTGGGGGCACGATCCTCTCATCAGCACGGAATGACGGTCGGGGCGGTGCAGGCATTGGAGGGTATAATACGACATCCCTCCTTTGCTCTCGGGTACAACAGAGCAGGTTGTTGAAAAGCCTGCGCAAAAAAGAGGTCTTCCGCTCATCCATGGTGGGTGCACTCTCGACAGTGTGCTTGGCATGTTCCAAACCGTCAACCTAATAAATTGTTGTACAAAATTAACTAACATTAAGACAAAGAGGCATCCTTAAATCTAACAAAGGCATGTAATCATACTTCCAAAAATTTAGACATGTAATCATACTTCCAAAAATTTAGACATGTAATCATACAAAAATTTAGACATTGTTGTACAAAATTAACTAACATAGGCATGTAATCATACTTCCAAAAATTAACTAATTAATTAACATTCTAGCTAATATAGGCATGTAATCATACTTCCAAAAATTTAGACAAAGAGGCCAAAATGGAATTCACTTACCACTGCGCCCCAAACAGCACCTTGCTTTGACACCCATCTGAGCGTGAAATTTCGATACCACCGCATGTTGATGTAGAATTCATGCTTCTTTTGCCAATCCTTTTTGGTGTGGCGTAGGTCAATGGCGTGGAGCTCCCTGAACCCTTGAGGTGGGGATGCTGGAATTGGTTGCTCCAATCGATATTGCCTCAAAGATCGATCGGGCAGGTGCCATTCCACCATGTGGAAGCAGATTAAGGGCACCTTGCACAACCATGTCTCTTCATCCTCGGGATGTCTAAGACGATGCAACTCAACCACTTCATTCGGATATGGATCCCATACCGCCTACAATCATTATAGTTCATGGAATTAATACAAATTATATCCACTCCACCTAAAAAATTGAAAATGATGAAATTTAAGTATTTTTACCTGGTTCCACCAAGGCTTATCGAATTCAGCACGATAAAACAGCAAAGAGTGTTCGGGCTGATGGTCGTTTGTATTTGCTCCGATCCACCTAATTAAGCAAAAGTACGTATATAAGCAATTTTTATGGCATAGATGTTTACTTGTTAAGTGACATTGTATGGAAGCATCTAAATTGAACTAAAATTCCTTACTTGGCAATAATCTAAATTAGCTAAATACGATTTGGTTAGAAAAATTCTAAATTTGCTAACTTGGAAGATATCTAAATTCACTAAAATACTATAATTGCAGACCTAAAATGTCACTTAATTTGCTTACTTGAAAGATATCTAAGTTCACTAAAATTCACTAAATTCGCTTACTTGGAATAGATCTAAATTCACTAAAATCCACTAAATTCGCTTACTTGGAATATATCTAAATTCACTAAAATACTACCATTGCATATATAAAATAAATTAAACTTACTTGAAACCATATGGGGGATTTGCTACAAATCGTAGCTCATCATCTGGCAACCAGAATTCCCGAGGGTCTCGAGATGCTAAAAACGGAAGATGCTCCCATGCCCAGAGTTGGAGTATGAACATAGCACCACCAGCTTGTTTTGCTCCCAACCTCGAGCAAGTACACAACTCTCGGTAGATCCCAGCCAAGACGGTCGACCCCCAACTTTTTCTCCCGATCTCGTCCCAGTCACTGAGGAGCATATTTAACCACATACCTTGTATCCACCGGTTTGACTTGTCGGGGAACAGAAACCCACCAACCAAACCAATTAGGTAGACACGTGCATACCGCTCCACCTGATCTTCAGGAGTGTCGGGGCCTATATTAACCTCCATTTGGATGTGGTCAACAAGCCACGGGACCGATACTTGCCCCGCATTCAGTGGTGGATGCCCAACCCCGTCGACGGGCGTGGTGGTCGGCATGTTGAACCCCAAGCGCTCTAGAATCAATGGCCCCCAACCATCTTCCGATTTTTTCGAGCTGTCGATGATGGCATCTTCGGTGATCGGGAGCCCGGTGAGGATGGCAACATCTTTGAGGGTGATCGTCATTTCACCCTCGGGAAAGTGGAAGGTATGCAGCTCGGGGCGCCATCGCTCTGCCATTGCCGTCAGCAGATCGTTGTCAATATCAAGCCTCGTAAAGTGCCTCAGCATGTGCAATCCCGTCCTCTCTATATAGGGCTGCAGTCGATCATGCCAACGGGGCAATCGACATGTCCCTCGATGAGCGATGGGAATAAGTGATTCCTACAAAACAAAAAACACAATATTATCAGTCAATAGAAAGCAAAATAAAAAGTTTAAAACTATTGAAATAAATTTAGTGTGTCTACCGGATTATTGTTCCAAATTGAACGGGAGCGATGTTGATCTTGCCCGGTTAAATACCTTCGATCCCTTGGGCCAGGATCGATATACAATCGAGGGTCGTATATCTCAGCACCCATCTATAAAAAAAATTTAAAATCAAATCAATTTAAATTTTAGCACCCATGTAAAAAAAATCACAAAAGAATAAAATTAATTTACGTACTCTCAAAGCCTCTTCGTCCATTTTTTGCCGAAAAGCTAGCGAGAGTATCGACAAAACAAAAACTCTAGTAATTCTTTCTGATGCGGAAGATCGGACTTAGCCACAACCACAGAGCATACTTAGAACGAAACTAGAGGAAAGTAAAGGAGGGAGAAAGAAGTATAAGATTTTGGTGTGGTTTGGAATGAGGGGGGGAGTGGTATTTATAGGGGAAAGGGGCGCTGGAAATTTTACCAAGGACCAATCACCGCGTCTGTTGACGGCAGTGAATTCACCGCCTTAAAGGAACGCGGTGAAGGCGTGGATAGCTGACGTGGCGCGGCCTGAGGCGTCGGATCGTGGAGAAAAACCTCAATCCGCGCCTCACTGCATCTAACGGCAGCGGTGAAGGGTGGGGTGGCGCGGATCGCTGACGTGGAAAGCGGGGCTATCACCGCTTTAGACATCAGCGGTGAAGTGCCCGCGCGCATCCACGTCAGCGATCCGCGCCACTTCACCGCTTTTTATTTCAACGGTGAAGATCCATTCATCGCGTCACAAATCAACGGTGAATTAATCACCGTCATTAACCACAGCGATGATAGCATCACTGTTGTTGTCCACAGCGATGATGCTATCACCGTTTTGGACTAAAACGGTGATAGCATCATCGCTTTGGACCAAAACAGTGATGCAATCACCGTTTTGGTCTAAAACGGTGATTGCAATCACTGTCTTGGTTTACAGCGGTGATAACCAAACTGCTGTATTTTGGGAAATATTTTCATAAGTACTGTATTTTGGGATTTTTTTTTAATAATTAGAGTATTTTGGGATTTTTTCCTATATGTAGATTGTAACATTTCAGCTCTTTGAGTTTTTCTATTTTAATTATTTTTACCCTAATTAAAATATTGGACTTTTCGGTCGACCTAATCCAACATGCGGTCGACCGAATGGACTAATTCATGTATGTGGGGTTCCGAGACGCGGTCGACCTCTTACATAATACGGTCGACCGCTTTGGTGGTCTAACAGAATGAAAGTTCGACCCAAATATCTCATAGGCCGACCCTTGTGCACCTAACAGGTCGACCGCATTATGAAGAGGTCGACCGCCTTCACACCGTATCCGTATTGGATATGGATTCCAACACCAGAAAGGTTCCACAATTGGACAAGGAAACGAATTGGGTCGACCCATTGACGTCCTAAATCTCTATAAATACGAATATAAGTCCCCTTCAACGCCTCCAAGTCTGAATTAGGTTTTTTTCCGATTAAGAGCCTTTGTGAAGAAGATCGTTCGCGGTTGCTGTTGGACGTGTTGGACGTGGTCGACCAGGTCTAAGGTGCAGTCGACCTAATGTACCATTCATCGTCTTCTTTTCTAATGCGTGATTTCCACCAGCTAATTTGATATATTGTTGGGTGCAGAATTCCATTCAGTCGACCGTGACGTCAACCAGGTCGACCTGACGAGATAATTCTGCGTATTTGAATTTTGGCCACAACACTTGGACTTCTGTACTTGCGAGGTAACCCAATTGGTCGACCTAATGGGTTTCAAGGTCGACCGTTCCTGTTTTTTTGGTTATTCAACCTGAATGTCGACTTTGGCTTTGTTTGTATGACTATGTTGTGCTTGAAAAGGTCGACCGCGCCAGATATCTGGTCGACCTATCCTTTTTCGATTTAATTTTGAACTTACTCTTTGTTGTTAATTGTTATTTTCCTGCTGGATAGGTCGACCTAGGAATAACAGAGGTCGACCTAATACTTTGTCAGCTCGACCACGTCTTTGTTTTTTGGTCAATTGTAGAAATTTGTAGTTGAATTATGATTTAAATTTTTCTTTAAATTGTTTAGACAATGACGCATGATGAGAAACTGCATCAAGATTTGGGTGAAATCATGAAATTGTTGAAAGCCACACAAGAGAAGCTGGTGGTGTGTCAAACACAAGTCAATGACTTTCAGAAGTACATGCGTGATAGAGTGGAGCAATTGTCAGTTCGACTGACAGATATGACTGGGATGATGCATGACGGGTTTGAGAGGCTAGAAGGTGCTATCAAAGATATAAGTGCAGAACGAATGGAGAATGGCGGAAGAAATGGTAAAGGAAAGAAATTTGACTTTGGTAAAGAGGAAAAAGACCATGATGACTCTGAAAATTGCTACCAGAGCATAGAAGATTTATTGAAAGAGCACATTTTAAAGGTATCCAAGTATATTCATATGTGATTGAAGATATTAGTATTACTATCATTAGTGCTAATTTGTTTTGTTTATATGTTTGACAGAGTGAAACAACGAATGGTAGCAAAGGTTCCTCTCCTAAGTACAAGAGACCGCGATATGAAAGTGACTCCTACACCACTCCACAGAAGGATCAATTTGTAAGAAAAGGATTATTTAGTGATGATAGCGATGAAGATGAATCTAAGAGTCCTTTCGAAAAGCACGGGGTAAGTTTACGTTACATATTCATCTATAATGTGTGTTTGTGTTCATATGTTACTTTAATTTTAACTATGATTTGTAGGTCATGAAAGTGGAGGGTCTAGAAGGATTCACCAAAAATCTTCAAAATCCAGTTGAAGACTTGTATTATGTTGTTACTAAAGAGAAGGCTGGGGACAAGAATTGGGACAAGTAAGACGTTTTTTAGTACGTGTGGTCGACCGTTTAGGTCATGAGGTCGACCGCTTTTCCAATAAGCTCGACCGTGACTGTGAACAGGTCGACCTGTACGTTGCAAATCACATTTGACATTTCTGTTATTTTGATTTTTGCAGTTTGACCGTTGTGGACTTTTTTTCTGAAAACGTGCAACGACATTATTTGAGTTCGGTCATTAGCGAGAATAGCTGGGTTTGCTCATCAGTAAGTACTATACTACTACGACTTTCGTATAAATTGTGCACTATTTATGTTACGATTTACGATGATTTTGTGTGCAAGGGCACTAACAATGTCTGAAAAACATGATGTGAAAGAGCCAAATATGTGGTATTTGCCAAATATGTTTTCGATAAGAGCCGTAATGTCAAATTATTTGTCATAACCTAGTTATTTATATTGTACCATGTCAATTCATCTCAACTAAAACATAGTGCAGAAAATGGTACGCGCTAACATGAAGACCAGACAAATTCGTAACAAGTTGATGAATGATGGCGTGGTCTTTATGCCGAATGTCAGTGCATGCCAGAAGGTTAGTCTAGTCAATGTCCCTATATCATTAAATTTCGAGAGTGCATTTGTTTGTATTCGCTGTTTATAACATATAGTGAGTGTTTCGTTGCTAGATATTTATGCCAGTTCTTGACGATGAAGCACGTCATTGGTTTCTGTATCTCGTCAATGTCCAGCAAAAAACTGCATTTTTGCTTGACAGTCTACCTTCAACTAGTGAGGCGAATCGTAGGCGTAAATCAGCACTATGCAAGAAATTGGCAAGTGTTTCCTATAATTTTCTGACTGTTAAGCGTCACGTATTATGCTAGAAACTTAAAATATTCGTTATTTGTGTGTAGTTGTCCAATTTGGATGATATTTCCAAACCGAAGAGCATGAGCAATGTAGGAGTACCAAATTTTGGAGATTTCAATTTTGATGAGCTACGAGTTCAACGGCAAAGGAATAGTACTGAGTGTGGTGTGCACGTCATGCAGTGGATGCGCTATGGATCCAAGGATCTTGATAGAGTGGTGAGTATATCGTCAAACAAATAACTTGTTTAATTTACACTTTTTTTAGTTGTAACGAAATCTTACATGGCATAATGCAGATAGGAGAAGAACACAAATTACCGGCTCGAAAGGAGATTCTATGGTATCTGGCTACACATTTTGAAAACCTTGCATGAGAAAATCTTTTCAAGCATGTAGTAGATGAATGCATGGAACTAGGCAAAGAGAGACAGAGTTCAAACAAAAAAGCAAAGAAATGAAGTCGTTAAGTTACAATGTTGCATTATTTGGACCATACATTGAATTTGTATTTGCGAGATCGTTTCATTTTGGATTTTGAATGTTTATCGTTTATTAGATTTGTTATACAATTATGGATGTGATTGAATTTACGATTTCAATCGTCTAGAACAAGTGGTCGACCACATACTCAAAGCGGGCATACCCAAAGGCAGAGCACAGGTCGACCTCGTGACGCTTAAGGTTGACCTATGATACCGTAGCAAAGTCAAAAACCATGTAGAATATGGATGGAATCTCGTCTGTTTGGCCTTAATAAAATACGGTCGACCATTCGTGTCAAGAGGTCGACCTGTTTCACATTTATAAACTATGGTCGACCATTTCAGTAAAGAGGTCGACCTGTTTCACATTTATAAACAACGGTCGACCATTTGTGTAAAGAGGTCGACCTGTTTCACATTTACCCAAGACGGTCGACCATTTGTGCAAAGAGGTCGACCGTAATGAATCATGTCCTTGTACAATTACGATTTTGTGTACTTGTCCTTGTCGAATTATGATTTTATATATCTTTCACCAATTGGATAAGGAATTCGTCTACATTATCTATAAATAGATGGGAGTCTTAATACTTTAATCGTACTTTGATTTATGCAATTTGTTGGAGTGAAGTTGTAATCTCATCGCTCTTATTGTGATCGGGTGTTGGTGGCGGTTTATTTTTATTCCGGTAGACCGTAACAATAAGTGGTCGACCTCATTGCTAAGGTATGTCTCGTATTGGCTTGTTAATGGTTGTATGTGGTTAAATTTTTCCCACCAGTCGGTCGACCACCTCCACCATCGCTCTTTTTGTAATTATATGATTAGGTCAACCTTTCAGTAAATTCAGGTCGACCGCATGTTTGTTTTTTAGTAATAAGGTCGACCGTACAGTTCATTCAGGTAGACCTGACGAGAGCTAATTGTGTATGTTTTTTACATTAAGTTCGTATTCTGATCGTTGCAGGATGGATAACAGAGATGATACAGATGATAGAGATGATGATGAGGTTAACTTCGATGAGGAACCTAAGGATGCTCGAGAAGGAGCTATGGATGATTCAGATGATACGGATGATGAAGTGGTTGGGGATGATAATGAAACCGAGGGTGCTGAAGAAGAATTTATGGATGATGAAAAAGCTACTGAATATGAACAACAAATTCCTTCCTTGGAGTTCCAAACATTAGAAGATGCAGAGAAATTTTACGATTCCTATGCTAAAGCGAAAGGATTTAGCGTTCGACGTAGAGATCTTCGGAGGAGTCGTCGAGGAGTAGCAATTGGGAGGACAATGGTATGTTCGAGAGAGGAAACTAGAGATAAGATGCATATAGATAAAGAAGGTCGGACTCGACAACATCGTAAGATGACAAGACATTCTTGCAAGGCATCGTATACTGTACGCTTTGATCGGGATAAGAAAATGTGGGTTGTTTCTAAGTTTGAGAGGAAGCACTCACATCGTTGCTGCAATGAAGAAGAAACTCAATTCCTTCGGTCTCAT